AAACTGAGGAAAAATATGTTGAACGAGATTGAGTGAACAATATCGCTCAGGACTTGACGTGAACCTCTTGTGCGTGAACAGCTTGTGTTCAACGAGTGCTGCTCTGACAGTTGTCCAGGATAATCATATCACAGTATTAGGCATAAAATGGCGAGCAGATCTCCGTCGAATGCACTTTTTCTGCCGCTGTGTGAATAAATAGCCCTTATTTAAGTGTTTTTTCGCTATGTGCCGAAGAGGTACTTTTGACTCAGGAAGTCATTAGAGTATATGAGGCATAGCAATAGAGCGTGTTTGGTATTCGATGTATGTTTTGCATTCTTTATTGAAATATAAGAAGTTGAAGACAGACAGCCGTCAACAGTGATCTCGTCACTAACATATTGATTGCCTGACAATGTATTTCTTCATGCTCCTCACTATTTTCAAAAGACATTTATTAGGAGTAATCTTATTGTGCCCGCCTTATTAATTGCTAAACGATGATATGAGTTGCACCGTCATAATAGATTAATACTGTCGTGTGCATATAAACAGGATTGCACAAAAAAACAATAAAATAGGATGGCACTTTATGGTGTTTCCTAACATTATTCTCTACGGCGAAAAAAACGACTTGTGATACATGGAACAAAGAAGTCACCTGTATAGTGTTAGACTTAATCCAGCACCGTCGTTTGGCACCGAGGTCTCTGCTGCGATGTCACAGCCCTTTTGTTTATGTGATTCTTTAAAACTCGTGTTTTTTTTACGACCTGTGTATAACTCAAGGTCCTGCCTAATCTTCATCCATGGAATAATACATTTACGCATAACCTGAATGTAGTCGTGCGTGCCTCAAGAACAAATGAATAAGCGGACTCGTGGCACTGCCGACAGTAAGATTGCTTTTTGGGTGGAATGCCTTCCTCGACGTGGTGGAATGAACCTCCAGAAAAGATAAGAATGCACACACGAAAATGGCGCCCGGTAAAATTGACGAAAAAAAGAAAAGAAAAGTACCCCGGCACATTTGCAAAGGTGTGGGATCGAGAGTGCCGCTTCATTTAATCCGAACTCATTTCCAGTCGGAAGCAGATTGCGAAATGTAGGGCCCTTCATTTGGCTCGTGTGGATCGTCCCCTCTGTTTCTGTACTTTCAGTAATTTCTGAATCGACCTTATTTAAAATGTATCGACTTCTGTTCTCTCCACGGCCGGGTAAGTTCAATACGAAAATATTATGGCATATAACTTAGCGCAAAGGAAGAAAGAAAGAAAGAAAAAAAAAAGCTTGGTTTGCAATTACTTTTTTAGTTCTTCCGAAAGATCCTGCACATTGCCATCGATAATTCGCTCTGAAGTGAATGCACCGAGCAATGCTGTTAGTCGACCTTCCACGTCTAGTGGTGCGAATAAATGCTAAAACTTAGTCTGTACGCGCTAAGAAATGTGAAGCAGTCATAGATTGCAGCGATAATAATAATAATAATATTTATTCCGGCTTAGGATAGCGGCGACGCCGCAGAAAGGCCAATGGCCCATTGGCGTTCATCGCCCCTTGGTCGGCAGACGATTGCCGAGTCAACACCAATAGTAGTGGGTATGGGCTGCGAAACGAAATTCTATCGCATTCAAAAAACATCCAACTTGACAAAGCTAGGAAGGGTAATAATCGCTGCTAGCCCATCCCGACCCGAGATCGAAGTCGGAGCGTTGCCCTCGGCGCAGTCGGAGCAGTTCTGCTTAGCACCGATGCAACTGACTGCTGAGTCAGTGATGGCGTGGAACCTTCCGAGCCCCTTTCCGGCACAGGGCTCGGTGGGGACTCCTCGGCACGTCCGGTGCTCTTTTCTGGCGGCCGGTGGTGGGAATCCGGAAACCGAGCCTCGCGTTGCGTCCAAGGAATCGATAGGGAGGGCCGGAAGCGCCGGCTATTCTTCGCCCATGCCTAAGCTGACAGTGCGGTGGATGTTATGTGCCCGTTGGACCAACCATACGTCGATCTTTCACCACGTGATCACGCTCCCGACTACACCAGCGCGCGAGAGCCGGGTCGGGTGATGAAAGGGTGTGGAAAGCGCGTTGCTCAGACCGCACTGTCAGCTTAGGGGGGAGCGGAGAACAGCCACTGCCGGGTGACGGCGACCACCGGCCACCATTACCGTAGGGTGAGTCCCAGCCCGAAGCGAGAAAACGCCCAGCGTTGTTACGACAGCGTTCGAGGGAAGCCGGAGAGGAAGCAAAGCGAAGACGGGTCATGTCAGGCCTGAGTTAGGGCTGCTGTCATGACGGGTGTCAAAAGGGCCGACTGCGCGATGTGATGTCGAAATCCGCATATTTTATTTGCGCACTAAAAAAAAGGACAAAGTTATAATGCGACCGAATTATAATAAAAAAGTTATCTCTGCGCAAAGTGATGGGGAGCGCTTGGGAGTGCCTGTCAAAGGTGGTTCGTATTGGTTTGCTTAATGTTTTGTTCGCGTTACCGCCATAAAAGTTTCACATAGGATAACCACTACAAACCCAGGTCAGAGTAAATTGATGAGATTACTTTTATACTAACATACTGATCCAACTTGTGATTGGAACTGAGAGGGTTAATACCACGAAAAATTCCATGAAAATGCTTGCTGAATAAAAAAAAAGGATTGCATTTTAGAAGTCAAAGCATCCCTATTTGTGTTTCTAAGAACGTGTATGCCAATGTGAAAATTAAATACAGACGTTAAAATTAATTTCGTAATCACTTCATAGCTTGTTTTTACTTTCTTTGGGTAATGTCACCATCTTGGCTCGCAGTCTATATAGTATGTGTAGTGTAAAAAATTTGGCGAATGGCACGCAAAATTTATGACCTAATTTGTGTTACTATTTTAATAAAAGACTCGTATTTCTTTTCTTTCAACAAATTTTATTGAGGGTCAGTTGCCAAGCGCAACTCACCTTAGATGTTAATCTTTGAGAGAATGCAAGTTGTATGATTCCCAGAATCAACAATAAATATACGATTTTGTAGAACTAAATTTTGTTTTCTTGCGAATCCCCTTTCGTACTTTAATTCAAATTAAAAAAACAGCTATTTCGTCACCGCGATATAGCTTTCAGAAGTACTTTAAACGTATGTTATTCTGCAAACGGGTGGAAAGCTGGGCCAGTTGGTAGTGATTTAAGGTGTAGATTAAAGCGCACAAGAAACGATCACAACAGGGAAGTACCACACACCGCAGATTAGCGGTGAATCGCAACTGATCGATTTATTGTGACTTTGTAGGTAAAGCAAGCCACGTACTTCGATAAGAAAAAAAAATGCAATTGAAATATAAGCAAAAAACAGAAGAGTAAACAAAACTCGAGAACAGGTTCGTCAACAATGCACATCTAAAACACGCGGGAAATGGCAGATTCAAAATAAAGAAAATCTCCGTCTCATACAGAGCAATGAGGGATATGGCTAATGCAGTTATCCCACGTTGTTTTAATTCCAAGGCTTTTGAAATTAAATTGGTTATCAGTTCCATGTTGGTATTTACTTTTATTTATGTTCTTCCTCACACACCGTTTCTCCTTCTCCAAACGTAGAAGGGGCGGGAAACTCCGAGCCGCGGATTTCAAGCCGCAGTGGTAAAAATGCAAAGCAGGAAGCTTCGTCTGTGTAGAAAGCTAGGTTAAAATGTGCGACCGTTTTTCTTTGTTGCCAAATTGTGACAGAACGTTTCATGACTTAGCATGACGGAGCCGCGGATTTCAAGCCGCAGTGGTAAAAATGCAAAGCAGGAAGCTTCGTCTTTGTAGAAAGCTAGGTTGGAATGTCCGGCCGTTATTCTTTTTTGCGCAATTGTGACAGACCGCTTCATGACTTAGCATGACGGAGCCGCGGATTTCAAGCCGCAGTGGTAAAAATGCAAAGCAGGAAGCTTCGTCTGTGTAGAAAGCTAGGTTAAAATGTGCGACCGTTTTTCTTTGTTGCCAAATTGTGACAGAACGTGTCATGACTTAGCATGACGGAGCCGTGGATTTCAAGCCGCAGTGGTAAACATGCAACGCAGGAAGCTTCGTTTGAGTAGAAAGCTAGGTTGGAATGTCCGGCCGTTATTCTTTGTTGCAAAATCGTGACAAACCGTTTCATGACTTAGCATGACGGAGGCACTGAACTTGAAATTTTACCCCCTTTGTTGGGTCTTGGTCGAGCCAGTTTATATAGCCGCTATCTAAGCAATCAAAATAGCAGTAACGTCTGGGCAACAAAACATCCGCTGGCTCCCCGTATCCAAAACACAATAAGTCCTTCAACATTCAAAATATAAGATAGAAACAAAACAGGACTGCAGTTAATAGCAAATTTATCGACGTTTACCCTTCAAGAAAATTTAAGATGACGTCAAAACAAGAACATTTCACGAGGGAGATAAATACCCTCTTTGGTTTACCATCACTCCCTTGCACTTCACTCTTTCGTTTCGAAGTTCCTTTTACAAGCAATATAGAGAAACATAGTCACAGCAGTTTTCGCTCAACGCTTTGACCGCTCTTTGCGGTAATTAGGGACGTCACATTCTACGCACGAGAGAGTGGCAAGAATAACAGTGTCATTGTTTCGCCGAGAAAGACTTTCTTTTAATCCTGCGCTCTAGAACCAGACCGCTAATGGCAAAGCAAGAAGCCCTTCTTTGAGCAAATGACCGTCCTTGTGCACCCTCGCCGGAGAACTCCGAGAGTTGATAAAGAACACTGACAAAATGTGCCGAGTCTGGCTGAACGACTGCACCGCTGTCGGACATAGATTAACGTTCTCGGTGTTCACATATACGTACGGGTTGCGGTACTCTGAGGCAAGGGCAAATCAGCGGGACGAGGGGTGGACATTTCTCAGCGTTACGCGCTGACTAGCTAGACCCGAAGAAAAGAAATATAGCTAAGTGGTCTCCTGCTTTCTAACAAAAAAAAAACAAAAAAAAAACAAAGATTTACTGGAGCGAACATAGCAAGAGCAGTTGCGACTTTAAACGTGCATCAGTCGGGTTGCCAGGAAGTACAAGCTCAATCTTGTCCGTATTATATTCGAGTCAGCCATCGTCAGCGGCTACACTGGCAGTTCAAGAACGAATGGTACGACAGAGGGCGTTTACCGCGACCTTCAGGGTAAGTTCTAGTCTTGGCAACTATGTAGACATTGTACATTCTCCATCCATAAAACCAAACAGCGCTTGATGCAGTGCGTATATGTACCATGCGCACTCGTAACTGAGTTTTGGGGAAATGGTCATGCGAACCCACGTGGTCACATTACTTAACACAATATTTACGTCAGAGCAACTGCATATCCTAAAAAAAGAACTAATCTCGTTATTAATAAGATAGAGTCAGCTGGCATTGTGATAAGACATTTCGATAGACTACATCTTTGTGACCGAGATAAAGGCTTGTTGGTTTGTTCTTGAGTTCTAGAACGAATTTACAGTCACATTTACTGTTGACTCGTTGTAACCTTTGCTAACAGTTTTGGCAGCATATTGGTAAATTGGTGTTGCGGCAGTTTCCCACATAAAAAAAGTATTTTATTTATTCACTCACACAATCACAGATTTGACAAGTACACATCAAACAGTATTCCATCGCAGGTGCGCCGCCGCAGTGCTGTTATTTCCTCTTACACTGTATCGCTTAGAGTACCTCAATCCCAATAAAACGTATATGCCTAATACGTTTTTGTCGTGTTAAGGCCTACTTGTGCGACTGTGATAGACAGAACTTTAACTCTACGGATGTTTGAAACTTATCAAAGTCTGGAATGAGAGCGCTCTACCAAGGTAAGGGAAGGCTTGCCCCAACGTGAAGACTGGAAACTCCCAGTCTTCACACTTATCCTATATAGCATATACTTATTTTTACTGTTAGCAAAGGTTACAATGAGTCAACAGTAAATGTGACTGTAAGTTCGTTCTAGAACTCAAGAACAAACCAACAAGCCTTTATCTCGGTCACAAAGATGTAGTCTATCGAAATGTCTTATCGCAATGCCAGCTGACTCTATCTTATTAATAGCGAGATTAGTCCTTTTTTGAGATATGCAGTTGCTCTGACGTAAATGCTGTGTTAAGTAATGTGAAGACATGGGCGCAAAGAAAGAAGCATGTTTGACTAAGGCGCCCCCTGTTTTTGTCAATCCTCCTCAAAAAAAGAAATAAAGGGAGCTTTGAGAGGAAACTACAGCGCAACTTGGTCTTTGTAGGCGTAGCTTTCTTGTGTAGTAGCTTTCTCTGGACACCTTAGTTTTTGAGTCGACTGAAACAGGCTAGCGGACATATGCCAACCTACACACCTCGTTGAGTAAACTAACCATAACCAGCGGCTGAAACAATGGGAATGATGATCGACAAGCCGGCATGTCTTCTTTTTTTTTCCCTTCTTTCGCCTTCCCGTCAGGTGACTTCAGGGGGCGTTCCTTGCGCCGCCGCGTTATGGTTGTGTGCCAAGATATCAGAGTATTTCCAACTGCTCGACTCGGATCACGTGCTTTATGGCCCGCGATTGGAATACCGGCTGCGACGAGGTTACGAAAGCGGTATAGTCGTCCTCCACCTCTCCGCCCGCCTTCTTCGTTTCCACGCGACGACAACACGCATGCGTACTTACGACCAGTCGGAGCAAGTGGCGTCCACCACTGAGTTGCAAGTGCTATCCATTGTTTGAGTTGCTTCCTCTCTCAAATCTAGCCTCTCTACGTCATAGAGATGGAGGAAGCACGTCCGGCGGACGCGATACAAGATCGGAGCGTCGAGTGTGCCCAGTACGCTGAAGGAATATCCAAGCAAGCATGAAGGGTCTTGCGGCGTTCTCCCTTCTTGGTCTCCTTGTCGCTGGATTCACCATCGTCGAAGCAAGTAAGATCAGTTTGCACGTATTCTGTTATTTCTGGCTCTTCGTGAGGGAGAATAACCTACCCTGTCGGTTCTGTGCGCCCCGATTTACGGTGACATATTGCTTCGCTAAATGTATTTGACTGTGTTCCATCTTTTGTTGCGTCATTAAATGTGAAATGCCCGCCATGCTTTGTAATCAGACGGATCTGTAAATAAGTGACCTTACGTTTGTGCCATAGGAGACTTAGCATCACCCTGCGTTTGTCCACTAGCAACGCCAACAGTTAAAAAAATTCGCCCCTTTCCGTTACTGTCGTAGAAAAGGCAGCGGTAACACAGGATATCTTGTGTGTTGCTTCACGGTGGTGTCTTGCACTTGAACTTAACACGCATTTTGTGACACGACGGCGAGTACGTCGTCGTGCGTAGCGTTTCGAAAAAAAGGCCCTGCCAAAGCTAGCGCGCGAGAGGGAGGGGAACACAAAGTTCGCGTCTCTTTCGTGGTTGCACACAGCAGCTTCAATCCTATTTCGCGTCTTTTCGTGTCCTATAAAGAATCGGCTTAGTCTTCATCCCGTCTTCTCTTGCATACTCTCCCACCATATGCGAAATCGCGCTCGCTGCCGTGTGGCAACATTTCAGACACTTTTTCTGAGTATGCCCTTGGCGCAGCTCGGTATAGGATTAAAGAAAAAGGAAGTACGGCTCAAAGCGGAATGCTACATTTTCTTTTTTGTTTTACACTGTTCAGGTTTTGGGTGATATTTCTACATTAGAGGAAGTGCGATTCCCCTTGATTTTTGTTTTTATGATGCATATTATTTTTCTTCTAGACGTAACCACCTGTTGCTATCAAAAGCCGCCTTTGAGAATACACTAGGGACAACTAGTTCGACTGTCATGCCCGTACGGTTAGCTGACAAAGTCGTACCTCAATATAAAAAATTCAAACCTGACGTTTATGGCCAGCTACCATCTTACTAGTGCACCAAGAAAACAAAACGATTGTAAGCATCAAATTACATTCCCTAAATAGTTCGTGGTAGAGTCGCCTAGCTAATGTTGGTTTCGCTTAATACAAACGAGGAATCTCGTTTGACCAAATGAACGTCCTTGATGCTAGCGAGGGTTTTACGGGAATATCATGCATTTTCCTTAACACGTTCTTAAAGAAGTGTCTCCCGGAGAGTGCCAGAGAGCCAGCCGACTTTAAAAAATAAAGAGAGACTTGGCTCTTTCTTTTCTAAGCTTCAGACGTCTTGGTGTACTGGTTGGAAACATCTCGATTAGAATGAACATTGCGTGACAGCGTCAGCAAGAACAGAATATTGATGCTTCTTTGTGTTTTACATCGAAAGGAAAGGCACCAAACTTCACCGCAGTAGAAGTTTTGGCGACAGAGTTTTGATGCTAAAAAACAAACAGGAAAATGAGAAAAAACGGCACTCGCTTGCTCGCGCTAATGGCGTTGCGCCATGTACTCCACTTCATCTGAAGCCTTCTTGAATATTCTCTCACCAGACGGGAAAATTGTCTTACGCTGACTGCAGTCTTGTACCTGAGAAATCAGTAATGCGAATTTCAGAATTCAAGATAGATATCTTCCTGGTTTGATATAGGTACAAACATATTTAATATTATGAAATAAATACTCCAATCTGTCATTTCTCTTGGTGCTGCAGATTCCGGAATTAATCTAAAAGAATGTCGGCGTTTCCAGGAGGTTGTGGAAGCGGAACTAAAAATTGCCATATTTATACAAGCTGAAGGCTCATTGCTTGTTAAAAAAAAGTGGCCACCAATGCTAATCGATTGGTGTCACACACGCCAACGAAAATAGACTAGTGAATGTTGTACCCCAAAGTGTTCTCCTTCAAATGTGGTATTGGCTAGATACTGGGCTTTTGAAAAGTTCAGAGCTAGGGTTGTAGAGCAGATATAATTTCTATATAGAGCTGTTGGGACTGTTTTGTCCTTCCTTGGGTATTCACACTCTAACTACATGCATTTCAAGTTCTTCGCGTAAGATTCTAACAAACACAGTGCTACCGCGAAGCAACTCTTCCACATGGCGCAAGGGGTGGAAACAATGGCAGAAGACGCATCAGTCTCTCTTTATTCGGGCGCTGAACTCACCACTAGGAGGCATGCTCGTTAAAATAGCGGCCGATGGAGGAAGCACGTTAACGAATTCTTTTTTATACGCCAAGCTTCCTTATAGTATGTCTGGTAACGGGCCACAATATTTGTTGTTGTTGTTTTTTTGTTGTTGTTTTTTTTCGCGGAAAGTAAGTCAGGCGAATCCGATAAACGATTTGATTGAAAATCATACATCACAAACAGCTCAAAAGAGACCGATTTGATCTCTTTGTAATATTTGTATTTCAGAGTGAAATCAGTCACTCGAATGAGAAGTTGCTGCGGTCCACACCGACTTGATTGAACTAGGGTCGACGCACTCTCGATGCAGAAAGTGCGTGCAGTCATAAGGCGCGCTTAATTAAAAGCGTTTTCAAATTTCTGCTCCACTCAACGTGCCTGACCGTCAAAGTGGTCTTCATCAACGACCACCGCAAAAGAGAGTGCGCATTTCCCTTTCTTTCATATCACTGCCAGATCCCGAGAAGTGCGAGGGCCACACGATCTTCATGCGGGACGTGGAGCGTGCCTGCATTGAAAAGACGTGCGCCACTCTGCACAGCCCACCGATCATCGACTGCGTTGGAATGGAGACCGGCTGCTTCTGCAAGCGGGGCTTTGTGAAGGAGAAAGGCGAATGCCAGCCCTCCAGCATTTGCGATGCAAATTCAGTCTAAAAACTGGCAGAACGAAAGAAGTATTGTTGAATGAGGGATCAAAATAAAACACAACGAACACTAGAGCGTTCCCGAGCGACGGTTTTATACATTGAAGTGTTGATACTTGGCGTTTGGGGTGGCATGCCAGGTTTAACATTAACAGACGAACTTAATTGCAACTGAAATAATCGCAGCCACGTAGGTAACTCAGTAAGTAAAATAAAAACATTTTTTTTGTCTTTGATTGATGCTGCTGTTTGGCATTATGTAGTGTCCCAATTGATATGGGATCCACCTAAATCCACGAAGTAATCACTTCTTTTCTTTTAATACGTCACAAAAATAATTCACGCACAGAGGTTTTCGACGGGCGAGACTTAGGGGTTTTCCCTTAATTAACTTTCCGATGGCCATTTACTGAACGCCTAGTATCTATTTTTGTTGTAACAACAACTCCATATATGAGTATGAACACCTAAAGCTACTTAAACCTACCACACACTTTTCTTAGGTATTAATATAAAATGTGAACTGTCGGACGTAAATAAATATTTTGTCAGATAGAAAATAAATTTGGGCAGAACGCCAGTCAATGGATGATCTGTCCGTGTTTTTGCCTTCGACGTTTAATTATTTGTTAATTTTGTTTACACTATAACAACGTGTGCTCACCTCAAAACGATCGTATGCAGTCGATCTTTCGAAAATTGAACCGAACTGTAGTAACTGTTGACTATACCAAGCACGAAGAAGAACGTTAGGTCCGCCTCATTTTTATTGTTAAGAATTGAGTCATGGTAGGACAGTGAGAGAGACTGAATACAATGCGCCGTAAAGCTGAGAGAGAGAGAGGAGGAAACCAGAGCGCGCGAGTATGTCAGAACGCCGAACTCTGGTTGAAATGATTAGTATAGGTAGACCTAAATCTATCTGTATTTGCCACCACTTCTCTCGTTGAACGCGTTCGAATGCGAGAGCCAAACACCGGACACTGCGTTCCGCGTTCCAGTGCGTTCGACGATCGCTGTGGCATAGCCTTCTATATACTGACAAAGCGTGGCAGATCGCCACGAGAAGCAGCCGCCGAAATGGAGAAGGTGGAGCGGCAGACAACGGATGAGGGGAGAGCCACGTGACTGGCGACCCGCTGCGGCGATACGCCGAAACACACTTCTACCGAGCGAACAAGTGTGTTTCGGGTCCTCGCCGTTGCAAAAGCTGTGCGCTGACGTCCAGCTTCCCCAAAGAATAGCTCTTTGATGCTCTGTGCTATCAGATCCTCGGGCTCCAAATCTGCGTCCGGGCACTCTATGGCTCCGTCGTCGAACTGCCAGGTTTTGTGAGTACAGAGGAGGCTATGGCTGTGGAGACAAAGGCTGCCTTTGTCTCCACTGCACTCGTAGAACACGCATCCTCCTCCTCTCACTTAGTTGTTCGGCGCATAGAAAGTAAACCGTTTGTAACCAAATTAGATGCGGTCGGTTTTCCTAAGGGTCAGTAGAACTCTAGTTGCTAATGAAAATATCAGACACGGGGAACCCTAGGGATTGCCTATTTTTTGCGATTAAAATTAATTGATATGTATGTAAGATAAGAGGGAAGAAAAACGAACCAAGCACGAAAAGAAATAAACTAGATTCGAACGCCGTCGGACGAATCACACGGAGTTGTTTTCTTTCAAAATCAAACCAAGGGCTGTAACTGATTAAAACAGTGACATATAAAAACGTTGCAGTGACCCTCGTTTTTGGTTTGTAAAAACATAATTTAAAACCTGAGTCATAAGGGCTGAGACAAAGAAGAGTGCGATGAAAAGAAATAAGCTAGGGTTTACAGCCGGTTAATGAATTAGATGTATTCAATATTTGGAAAAGTCACGCGGGAGATATAGGTACCTATAAAAATACCTCGGTGTTCGAATGACGAGAAACAATGCTCTTCTGATATTCATTATCTGCTTTTAGTGTATAGCGTAAACTAGCAATACTTTAATTGCCTTTGCTTTAAAACCATGTTGAAAAAGGAGTTAGCATCAATTTGTAAGATATCACTATAAAAAGTGGCTAAGTTCAGGGTCTCGAATGACCACAACCCGTGTGTCAGTAAGTCAAGTACGTGCCTATCGTGATGTCACTAAGCATGACCCGCTCAACCTAGACGCTTACGTCAAGAGGGCCGTGGTTGACGTCAGAAAATGCGTATCTTGTGCCTTCAATTTGGCCTGTGCTTCTCGGAACGAAACCGGCTTGCATGTAGATGAGGCTCGAGACGTATGCAAATATAGAACGCGTGGCTTCGTGTGGAGTAAAAAGGGATTTTGTGGCCTCACAAAATAACAAACTCAGAGATAAATAAATAAATAAATATATATATATATATATATATATATACTTCCGAAGTAACCTTGAAGACAAAAGTGTTTCATAGTAATTTTAGTTCAGTAAAGTTCCCTTGTAAATTACGCCGAGTTGACCTTCAAAGCTCTGACTGAGAATTGATCGTCGTGGCACATTGTTCTAGAAACACCCACGGCTGGACAACAGGCCCTATATGCACAATAATACGGCGAATAAACTCGTGTAACTTAATCTAATGCTTCATTAGAAGTTGACAGTGTTACTTCACTAGGGACCAGCTTGCCACTTTATTTTGAAACTCGTAATTTCTAAGGGAGTTGTACAAAATCATATAAGATGAAACAGTTTCAGTACTGGACGCCATGGAAACAAAGGCAGTAAAAAAATATTTACTCCTTAAATTTCTTACAGGAACGGGGCTGCAGTCAAGTTAAAAATACAGGTTCGAAACGTTTGCAAAATTTTAGAGATAGAAATAAGCATGTGGAGAGGTTATTTAGTCAAGCTTCATAACGCTAAGTTTTTTCTTCGTTGAGGATGCCACTTCTAGAGAGGAAAGCTTTGGGGTGCAGCCATTGCTCCCGTGGGGTACGCGACAGGGCAAACGATGTCCAGGCATCCCCAAAAAGTTAACTGGGGAAAGCGCGGACGCTCTGCAGAACATCTTTCTGTTGCTGTTGTTATATTTACGGAGGCTCGACCGAGCACTGGACTGCATCTGAGCAGCCAGGCACTCTGACGTGGTGGGTGTTCCGCAAAGCCGCCGCACATCCACAATCGCTGCTTTCTATGACATGCTAACGCAATCCATCCAGGGAGGTGCGAGAGTCACGTTAATTTCCTTTTTTTTTTTTTCAGAACCGAAAAAGCAGACACACACGGTCTTCCTAAATAATATAGAAGGAAGGCCCTGATGATTCAGTTCGTATTTGTATAATTGGTGTAGGAGTCTGACTGCATCAGTTTTTTTTTTTTCGTCGAGTTTGTTGTTTTTTCTTTCTTTCTTCTGATGGCATGAGACAGACCCAGATCAGAGATGAAAGAGCTAATATCTTCAAGTCGATGTGACTTTCTCGAGGGTACATTTTAATCATGGTTATTTAACTGACCCGATGTTTCTATACTGAATGCGAGGCAATATATCCTATGTTAAGCGTAACACCTCGATTATCCGACACCGGAATACTTACCATGCTATTTAGGAAAAAAATATCATGTTTTTAAATAAACTCCAGACAAAAACCCAATTGAGGTCCCATGTGGAGATTTTTTGATGTAAGTCTACGTAATAAAGTCGGACAGTGCGCTCAACTGCTGATGGCTTATTGGTTTTGTGTCTCATGTTTTCTTCATAATGTTCAAATTGAATTATTTTAGGATTCTCGGAGCTTGGTTTTGAAAAAGCCGTCCCACAATGGCTGATAATGACGCACTGTATTCCTAAGAGCGTATTTATGTCCTGGCTCAGACCTGCGTATAACGAGGAGATTGAGTAGAAACGTACTGTATTAAATTGATGAAATCAAGTCTTCGAGATTTATAAAACCACGAAGTCAGACAGAACGTCTCAATTGAATGAACTTTTTCCACCTCTTTCTTTTTTACGTTGTCCACTTAAAGAAACAAAGACCGTTTTGTTTTATGAGCATAAAGGCGAAACTTAAAATCTAGTACGAAAGCACAAGCCGAGTGTATTCTTTCGTGTTTTTGAAGCGGCACTTTTCTACGCGTCTTGCAGAAAGTGGAGAATATCCAACACCAATTTACGCAAAAAAGGGTGGCCCTGTGAGCACTTTAACAACTGTAAATAAGAAAAACGAGATCCTACGTGCCCATAATCACAATTTTCTCCTTTGTTTTTGCTTGTGTAAATTAAACCCGAGCTTAGAATGCATTCAACCGGATTTCCCAGTTCTGTTGCCTTCTTTCATTGCTTCTGTCTTGTAGATTTAGTCTTGCTGAGAATTTTGTTGAATTAAAAATTAAAAAAAGACATTACCTAAACAATCACTGAGTTACACAGAAATGCAACGCATCACAAAAGACTAGGAAAAGAGAAAGAAACAATAGTTAGAAACACCCTTTGTAGCAATGCTTCAAAGTGTCCTTGCTCACTGAATGAAAATACTGGCTGGTTCGTATCCTGCCGCCTTACCTGGCACCGTTAATGCTTCGTATTACGCTACTATAAATAGGAAGGCACGCCCGGAGAAAAGCAGATATTAGCGCACTCAACTCGAAAAAGCCCTTTCAGAACAGACCAAGCGAAAACAGTTTTTCTTTTTTAATGCGGTTACCACCGGAAAAGGAGAAACAGTTGTTTCCCTCGGGAGGCTGCAACATCTTCATTTACTTTACAGCGAGGTGCGTTCCTTACCTGAGCGACTCTTTCCCGCGAAAAAACCTGATATTAGATTTTTGCAGGAGGTGGCTTTTCTTGGCAGCGTTTTCTTTATGACTCTTGACATTGTTGATACAAGTTAAGACTTGGGGCTTCCTAAAAGGTAATTGCTTTCCTTCGCTCCTTCTCAAACAATCTGAGCAAGTGCATGGTAACCTTTAATGCCCCCCTTCCCCCGTCCCCCTCCCCTCAAAAAAAAAAATACAAAAGAAAAACAAAAAAGCATGAAAGAAAAGAAAGTTACTATTCATCTATAAATGTTTTTTATTTATTTATTTCAGTACCTTCAAGGGCCAGGGGGCGTTACAGAAGGGAGTGGTGGAAA